CAACAAGTCATAAAAACACTTGTCCTACGTGGTTCTTAATACTTTTTTCTACTCAACGGAAACACAAATAACCGTCATCTTCTCAGTTAGATGATGGGATCGATACCACTCTTATGTCTGCGTGTTAAAGATGAAGATGAAGCCATGCAACTGGTTAGCTTAGCATAAAGACTACAAACTGGGAAAAACAATTAGCCACCTTTATTCTGAAAGTAACAAAATCACCCATCAACACATCCTAAAGCTCGATGGACTTACAGGCAACTTGTGGAAAAGCTTCAGAGACCGTGGTAGGAAGACTTTGCCATGTTCTGACCATATTACTAAACAAATGTTTCCCATATATTACCCAATAACATGGAGGATGCATTCCATTTTAAAGACGCATACTTTCATATCTGTTAATTGTTGGGCAGCTTTCTGAAGGTTCTGCCTCCAACATACCTGTTTTACTGTTGTAATCAAAGCCAATGTTTGTGAAGACTCTGTTATAGATGAGAATATTGTTGGTGCTGTTGGTGCCGGGTCCAGTGAACACATCGTTGGATTCGATTATAGTTGCAGAAAAGGCCACCTTGGTGTTGACTGAAGAAAGAAATGCAAACATTGTTAAATTCAGTTGTGTGTAGCATCTTGAACTATTACTTACTATACTTTCCCTTACCTTCTGCTTTAAGGCGCGCCATTTCAAATGACAGTTCACTTTCTTCAGTTGACCCCAATCCGGGTTCTGCAAGTCATTTAAATAAAAAAAAAAAAAAAGGAATGTTACATTCCACATTTATGAAAAAGCAGCAGCTCAGTATTCATCTATTTCCAGGGTACAAGTTGCAAAGCTTTTGTTCAGGGATTGGATTATCTCGTCGCTCTTGAGACCATCAAAGTCGTGCAGCCTTCTGCTGGTCCACTGCAGTTAGTCAACATTCCTGAATCATCAACTTCAGCCTTTTGAACATTCAGTTTTGTGCTGAACGCTTGAGTCATTATCAAAGAACATTTTTGCAGTCAATTCATGAAAACATTTATTTATTTATTTATTTTTTTTAAAGATACAGACTTTTAAAAACTTACCGCCGCTGCCATTTTGTATTTCCGTCAGGTTAGCTTCAAGTTGCGTCTTCGGGGCATTCAGTAGGGCTTCGACTGTGACTTCAAGCTCCCGGGCGGTCGAGTTAAGGTGGGAGAGTTCCTTCTTGTACAGAGTCAGCAGTTTCTGTGTGGCATTGAACGCGGCCCCAGTTTCTGACTCCAGATTGTCAAGTTTCTCTTTTCTCTCCCTTAGCTGCCCCTCAGTTGCATCAAGTCTCTCCTCAATCTCACTGATGTTGCCCCCAACTCTCTCCCCGTGTTTGACCAGTTCTCCAACGTCTCTCTTCAGGCTGGCAATGTCAACTTCTTGTCCCTCCAGCTTTGTCTTTGCGTCCCTCAACTCCATCTCAGCTTGTGACGCCATCTCTTCTCGGTCCTTTTGTGCGTTTGAAACGTTCATCACCAACCTTTCAAGCGCACTAATGTTGCCGTTTGCAGAATCAAGCTGCAGTCTGGTCCTACCTTCCAGAGCGTCAATCCTCTCTCGCAGCAGCATTTGGTTCTCTTCAAGTTTTGTCTGAACATCATCGAGGTGTAAAATGTTTTTGTAATTTGAGCAAAGAGTCGGCGTTTCTTGTCCTTGCTCCGGGTCACACCTCCGTCTGTGTGGGATTTCCGAAGATGCCGCTCCAACAAAAGCCAGAAGAAAAACCACCATGGTGACCATCTTCAGAGATAAGTTAAGGTTCTTTACTTGACCAGTCTGCAAAGCTAGGATTCCTGTGCCCGTCTGGTGTTGCAGCTCCTTTTTACCTTTTTTGAGGTGGGCATGGCAAAGGGTCATCAGCAGAGTGGAAACACCTGAGCTCATCAGCAACACTGGCAACACATGGGCCCTTTGTGCCAGTGCACTCTTTTAAAAACCCTGTTT